AGAAACTGCTAATTTTGCCATTGTTAAAGACACACTCTCTACACTATATACAGAGGTGTACAGACTTATTGAAGGCATTTAAACAAATAATAGGCTTCCAAGAAAAAAGGAAGCTATGCAGCATTACTCATGCTTCTATCTTGTGATATTTTGATAATTCCATCCAATTTATTAAACGCATCAACTTCTCCACAACTTTGCCCAAGACAAACTTCAGACTAGACACATTTGTAGTTTTGAAGACCATCCTTTTTCAGTATTTTATACTTCTGGGACTTCAGGACTTATAAACTGGATAGTATATGTATTAGTGAGATCAAAACATTCTGAACTCTACTTTTCTGTTATCAGTCATTTCAAATGTAACTATCATTTCTATTAGAGTAACTAAAGTAACAAAATCTATAGCATGGATTAAAATTTGTTATTTACTTTCAATTTATAATGCAACACAAGCATTCTACTTTCAAATAACACCTATGACTTTCTGCATTGAGGACAGTGCTTTTATTTGGTACTGGAGCTCAAAAACTGTTGTGAACAGGAACATGTGTCTCTCACTTAATAAAAAAACCCCTTTAACTTCCCTTTTCTCATCAATTAAAATTCCTCCAGTATTATTTTCAGTACTACTCCATTTCTCTGACAATACAGATACACCTTTTTTTCATACTTCACTACTAGCAAAAGCTTTTTCTCTTCTTGAGACTCCTGTCAAGATTGAGATGTGACTTTAAATTGGCATCTAAGAAAACACGAAGTATTTTAATCTAGATTTTTAACGTCTGAATGTTTCTTCCCACATAGTTTAGCTCATTCCCATTTATAGTTCTGGAGAACTGATATTTTCAATCATCATTTGTATGTTTTATGGTTGTTCTCAAAACTATATGCCCAGGACAAATCAGACTTCCCTCTGATCCCTAGCAACACCTGGTCCTGTCACTATTAACTGCTATCAGCTAAAGCAGAGTTAATACAGTTCAGCCCACAATCCTCTGCTGGTTTGGCTAAGTAAAATCCATCCCATAAGCCACACTGCACTCACATCACAGCAAGCTGCATTAGGCTAATCGGGGACAGCAGTGTAAGCTGTTTGCAGAGGGGGTGGGAGAATTGTCTTAAAATAAAACAAAACAAAATAAAAACATGGGATCAGACTATTCCTCAGTAAATTCTACAGCCAGCATACTGCCATGCCCCCTTTTCTTTCCATGTCTCTGGATTTGGAAACACCAGTGGTTGTGTAACAGCAGTTGGATGGGATGAGGTACAGGTTGAGGGTACTGAGGTCCCTGAGCTCCCCAGATATTCAACAGAGACAGATGACTCCATCACCCAAAGCCTGCTGAATTTACATAGCAAATTTAGGTAACTGCAAATTCCTCCTGAGCAATATCAAATCTAAATATTTCTCACTTTTAAAAGTGCCCTAACTCACAGTGGTTTATGTCAGACATGGTGAACCATGAACCACAGACACACTGCTATGAAACAGCCCAGCCAGGCTGAGACACCAAGCAGTGTTTTGGAACTCCCATCACTTATAATTCATTTCCCTGTTTCTCCATCCCAAGGTAATTGCAAACCAGTATTTTTGTGTGTTTGGAAAAAGGTGTGGGGTGGAAAT